GGGAGCAATCCTGGTCGCTGGTGGCTGTGGTGTTGATGGAAAAATACTAAACTCAGTGGAAATGTTTACAGCGCCAGACTTCAGGTGCCAGCTCGGCCAATGGACAGAGCTGGCCGGCATGAAGGAGCCTCGCTGGCATTTCTTTCTTCTCACCTACGCGGACGCGGTCTTTGCTCTCGGTAATCTCGATTTTTCATATGCAAAGCGGCATTAAAACCAGGAATATCATAAATGTTGCGTTTTCACTGATTTGGCCTATTTTTGAGCATATAGTTAAAAATTGATCTTCATTCATATTTTTCAAAATTTGTAGGCAACGATTACAAAAGAAATAACACTGTGGAGACTTTAACTGCACCAGAGGGTTCAGCTGACGTCGGCAATAACTTGAAAGCCTGGACCTGGTCGTTGAAAAATCCACTCGAAACGCTTGACTCCATTTCTGGAGCTGTAGTCATTTGCAGATAAAGAGTTGCATTTTATGTTGATGACCCTGAGTTCCTTCCATTGGCTACAAGTTATTAATAAAGGGTTTGCAAATAAAACTGTCTCACCTCTTTTATTTGAAAAGATCAGAAAGATCTGCGGCACACAATATCCTGAGTTGCCGGTGAGAGGTCCGTTTTATTGCGAAAAATAGAATAGGCGTTTTTTCACCGTGAATAAAATGAAGCATCCTGATATGTTCGAATGAAAATCTTTGGTAAAACCACAAACCAAGGGTATGTGTGTTATTGTGAACGCTACATCTGCTGCTTAGTTAAAACGTTAGGTTGTAGGGGCAACGGTTATTTTTAGAACTATAAAAGTGATGGATGCCAAGTGTGTCTGGACACAATTCCATGAAAGTGGTTCACTGACCGATTGAATAAAAAATGTTGCTCATATGGCACGGATGCCTGCTGGGCACGTATCCACAGGCATTGGCAGGCGAGCGCCCTGAACATATAGGTGTTCATGGGTCTTACTTTTAACACGACCACACAGTCAAAAAATGTGATATTTTCAGCACCCATGTCACGTGTTTGCAGTCGGCTCAATCCTTTCTTGAACAGTCACGTCGTTTCCCTTATTTTTGAAATTTTTTAATCAAGGTTATCGATTACCGTTTATCAGATCCGACGTGTATACTGTTAGAGCAATTTTGTGGTTGGCAACACACTAAACGTTGAGGCAAATGCGACGATTTCTAATGACACACCAACTCACCCGAAAGGACATGGCCACGCAGCAAACTTAAACAGAGCACACGTCCACGCACGTGCGTGATTGAGCTGCACTTTCGAAGCTATTGGTCACAAGTGATCCAATAATTTCCACGTTGTTGGATTATATATTTAATGAAAGATCGTTCTCCATCATAATCGGTTAGTGGTAGACGATTATGTCGGCCCATATTAAACCTTCCAAATACTCCGTCCAGTCGGCGAACACAAATTAGTTTTCTATTTGACCTCAAACCGGACTGAGTTATTTTACTTGAAGATAAACAAAGGCATGAGCATTGCATTGATCTGGCGATATTCTTCATTTTTCGGCGCCAAAGTTTAAAGCGACAGTTGAAGCGACGCACCATCAAGACCACGTGTAAGGCGAGTCTGCCATGTGCTTCTGGCATTGCCTCTTAGACTTATGCGTTAGACATGCTTCTTGATTTTGCGTAGGCAAACTGACCTCATAGCCGCATTCGCCCTCCTACAAATGAAGGTTGTTTAGCTGAGTCAAAACGTTGTTGCCTATCCGAGCGCCTGGCCAACACAGCTACCCGTCAAAACTAGCTGTGTTCATGTGCTGAGTGCCACCCAGTTAAATGGAAAGAGAGCATTACCCAGCTTAGGCAGGAGTTTGATTTGTTATTTATACAATAGCATTTAGAAAACCTATTTTTCTTCAACAATGGCAGACATAAGCCGCATGGGCTTGCGGTACGACAATACCGTAATTAACTGTTCATTTGTGGCAAAGCCTTGTAAGGCCATGTCTCCATCGCGATAAATTCAGCAGAACTGCTTGACAGTAAATTTGCGGAACATGTCAGTTTTGTCCTCAACCCTACTTACCTCCAAGCTCTAACGTGCCTGTATCTTGCATCCCCACCTAGATTCAAAACTCCCTAGTTAATTCGCGTAAATGAGCTACAAAATTATGTTTCAACCTGCGTCTTACATATTATTGTTTAACCCACATATTTCTCGTTGACCATTTTTTGTCGTCCTTGCTGAGTCTTCCAAGTATTGAATCTTCTCGAGAGTTCTGTTCGGAAGAGCATCGCAAGTTCACACGAATTATATCAGTTGTATTTTATTAAATAGATGCTTGAATATTGTCTTCGTCAGTCAGTTATTAAAAACCCATGATATGCTGCGCGCATGCCTGATGCGAATTCGCCAATCATGAATACCTGCGCACCTGGTAAGATTTAATCGATCGCGCTCAACGCTTACCGCATAACTAATTGCAGTGCGAGTATGTAGCATTTGCTCACTAGCTGAGCGCTGAATGCGAGAAAAAGCGCACCTCGATGGCCTTGGCAGAACCGAACCAATCGCGGCAGTGCGGGCGTTTGCACTTCACTGAGCAATAAGAAGGCGATCACGATATATCGTCCATACTTAACAGCTACTGTTCACATCTCATCCGGTCTGACGAGGCCACTGCTGCATGACCGTTAGTTTAGTGTGCCTATGTTGCATGTGACCTCTTTGTGAGTTTTTGGCATCGATATTTCCTTCGTAAGCAGCATCAGTAGTTACATTATTGTAAATCTGAGTCTATCTACTGTCAATCAACAGACGAATTTTGTGAAAAATGTATCTTGAGAGAACGACAAGAGAACAATTAAAGACGGTGAACATGCGGTAGTTGTCCTGACGGAGCATGAGTAGCGCTGAAATATCCATCTCTACCAGGCGAACCATTTTAATAACAAGATCTTCACTCGCACTGGGTAGAGGTACAGGCATATACTAGGACCAAATCTTCCATGCCAAATATTTCATTAATTTGTAAATGAATTAAGTCATGTTTTCTTATCTGATAAATACATTATTTGACTCTAGAATGAAAATCGTGGCCTAAACACGTCTTCTCATTTGCCTAGATGCGGACGTCCGTGTGTAAGCCTGCTAGACATATTTGCACAGTGATTTGCTTAACCACTTTTGTTATAATGATTGGTATTTTAGAGCCTTTATCAAGTTTATAAAATCAAATTGAACTTCTTCTCCCAAGAAGTACACATTTCTACCAAGCATGCTGTAAATCCTCCGTGAAATTATGTCAAGATACCGTCGGAAGTAGTGGCCCTTCCTTTCTATTTTTACTTGGCATCATCAAATCATCGATTTTAATATTTCCTTGTCCTTTTTTTCCAACGACCACTCATGTTTATTCCGTAGATTTGACAATCTTGTATGCGAAAAGCTAACTGTCAAGGCAAGCCTCATTGTATCTCGTCGGTTTAGATGTTGCTTAAGATGATTTTTCTTAATTTCAACTGTAGACTAAGGAGATTGACCTTTAAATAATCTGTGCTCTCCCATTCGGAATTAGTATTTATTATGACCGCATAGAACACTCCTATCATTGACATAAAATTATGTGATGTTCGCCCAGCTGTTTTTCTTGCAGGCTTTAAAAACAGTAGGACTATTTTGAGTATCACAAAGCTGGAAAATAACCGCATCGCAGTTATCAGGTGAAGACTTAGGAAAAATATATTTGAAGTCAGAGATAAAGGAAATTGTATGTTAGACCATAAGCGACGAAGCTGGTAGGCTTTCCGACCAGGTGGAATGATTTATTACGAGGAAAACTGCAAAAATTATTGATTAAAAGTAGAGGCCTTTGTTAATCCTGGACCTTAAGCCGCATAGAAAATAAATATAAGATGATTTTTTCGCTTTACAAACGGCGCAGATTATTTTTTGGTTAATCATCATTCATGCCATAAGGGTCCCAAATATTCATCAGAACAGTCTACCAAACTGAAACCTTTATGACTTGAACGTGACTGATCGAGAAATGATTGGGCCATTTTCCGAAAGTCCTCAATAAATGAAGAGCTGTCAATTTTAACAGGTGTGCGGTAGCCAAGAGGCTGCAGCATAGTGTGTATCTGTAACAGTTGTATGTTGCCGCCCTTAAGAGTGCATGAACCTGAAATCTCACGTACACATTGTTCTTTTCCTAGTTCTTTTCGCATTTTAATGGCGCTTTATCGGAGTAAGTTCTAGCGTTCCTCAGAAAAATTTGTATCTGCAAATAAGCGGCTTCAACCTTCATGGCGACATGTAATTTAAACATTCATTTTTGAACTCAAAATTTTGCATTCACAAGTCACTTTTTAAGTTGACATTAAATGCAGTGTATGCAAGATAAAGATTAAAATGTGTTAGGACATAACGTATGCTGTGTGGCTTAATTCTAGGGCATATATTAAAAGAAACTTGATTAAGCAACATTGCCGACGAAGAGAAAGGCGACTTAAACGGTCATTTCTGCCTTATTGGCCGTCATCTGTAGGTTCCAATTGTTGACCAAGTCGCACCTAATGGCCCTGTCCAAATGCAACAGCAAACCATTTCAAAGCAATTCAATGCATGCCACAAAGATGTCCACTTTGAGGAATCTTCTTATTTCTTTTGCTGTAATGGTTTGCTTTTTGTGGCTTCCGCGAATACTTGCAGAACTCACTGGTTTTCCGGTGATACCGGGTCTCTTCCCTCACCCGAGTACTCGAGATCGTTGATACTACCGTAATGATGATCAATAGACAAACATTGCTCAATATATCAAACTCAAAACGCTTGGGAAAAGGACAATAAGCGGAAGAGCGAGGCCAACCAAATTATTTTAATAACCGCTTTGTCAAAAATAGCTGTGGCCTTTTAACTACTGCCCAAGACGACGGTACTATCAGCGATCCGTTTGACACTCATTGTTCGGTTTCCTTCAGTGTTCCTGGACAGTGCCCAGTGAACGTTTTGATTTGATGCGTGCTGAAGTGGATTTAATAAGATATCAAATCCAGAACATCTTCTTTACCCAGTTCAAAAGACCATCTCTTTCAGAGGAGAAAAAAGTAAGTCACACGATTAAATGAGATAGTGAAATGAAAGCAAGAGGTCTAAGGTACAAAGCCCTGGACGCCATATCGCCAAACGTAGTTCAAGGAGTAGGCTTGACAGGTCCCATACGATAAAGCGACAAGGATAGGGTGTTTGCGCGGAGTAGAAAAATGCTAACTGTTGTTTGGCAAATTCAACAGCGTTTTAACACTCTTGCTTTTTTGGCATGCGTATGCATTTCGCCCAATAATATTTCGAGTATTTTCTACTACCTGACTGCTCTGTGGATGTAACTTTTTTAAATGAGCTTTTCCCTACCAAATAAGTACGCGAGGGTGTACAAAACAACGAACCAATGCACGCATTTCAGCAGCAACGACGCATCGTGGCGGTACAGGTCAGCGAATTTCATCCCGCCGTCGAAAGGCCGACCAAAAACACTACCGAAGAACACCTACTTTTGAAAATTAGTAAGCAGTTTTTCACAGTTTTCCTTTCTTCGCGCATAAACGTAATCCCTACTTACACTCAGACCATCGTGTGTCTACAGAGAACGCCTGTAAATCAGTGCTTACGCGCGTGTAAATCAGCTTTCGCAGCAACTACACCGCAAAATCGATCGATATATTTGCCTTTATTGGTTGACCGCAGACAAACAACGCCCAGACGTATGAATTCAGTGTCGGTGCTTAACGAACAGCACGCAGATGGTGAAAAAAGCCACTGTCACTACCAGCAGAGCTGCCTGGCCTCAATTAATGTCGTCCAGATAACTCTGTCTTTCCCGACCTTTGATTGGGGAAACCTCGAGTTGTCAACCATCCCACCTGTGTAAGATATTTGTTGGATGAATCACTGTGCTGAACTTTATCATAAGCACTATGCTTTAGTAATCAGCTGAGTGTAAAGTGACCGACAGTGGTTGAACGAATTGTACTATCCAGGGCAAAATAGAATAATTTCTAAAAATAGACAAAATTCCTCACTATCGTCGTCATCGAGCATGCTAATTGAGGCATTATCTTGGCCATGTACCAAGAGACTGTTGAAACTGCCCAATGTTTCACCTATGCTTTAGTAAATTCGCCAACCTTAAGATTCACTTAATTGTGTAAATACCCTGAGACCATTCGAGTCCGCTTAAGTACATGCGGGTTTTCGGGAACGTAGTTGTGTTGAAGATGGTCCCGTTCCCTGGTATGTGATAGCACCATCCCGCGGCCAGCGTACCTAGACTCATTTCAACTGTCAACTCTAGACAGCCGAATTATATTCATTGTCGTTGTCGCTGTACCACTGATCCCTTTTTATCCGCATATTTTGAATTTCTGTCGTCAAACCTACTTAAGTATCTCGGTTTGGATGCCCATCAACTGCTCTAGCAGGATGTAATTTCGGCATGTCAAGAGGAAGGCGTGAAGGTCGAACGTATTAAAATAGGCGGGATAGGTGATGCTGTGGCAGTCCGCGCCTCCTTGCTCTCCGCCGATTTATGACGCTGTCTTCCTATACGCCTCAAACTCCCTGTCGATTCGCCGCTGGGACGCGTAAGCTTGTTACTACCCTCACGAGGGCTTAAAGCCAGTTGTTTCTGCCCTTTTGCTGATTGGGTGGCGGATACTGAGACATATAGGAAGGCGCATACGCGTGCTGGGATCTAGCCACCTCCCCTCCTCCAACGGCATACACAAAACCCAACTTTCCTGGAGAGCCCGCCCGCAGCGACCGCTCACAGAGCCTCTGTGTACACACTTCCTCATAAATAAAAGTTTTCGAAACCACTCCGTCTTCCATGACTTCCGATATGGAGACCCTTGTCTTGTCGACCATGCAATCCCTATAATACCCTAATCTAGCACTTCTTCTACGTACTTGACATCCGACAAGTCCACTTGGAACAGAAGGAGTAGGGGAACTAGATAACAGCGAAAGTATTCAATGGGGACATTAGAATTTTGTTCATCGTGACTACTGTTCAATTCTGCAAACATGAGTTCGAAAAGAAAGCCTTTCTGTTTCTTACCGCAGTTCGTCCGGCAGAGCAAGCAGACCCCTTTTCATGGTCAAAGAGGACTCCGTGAAAATCATAATGCTGGGCGAGCACTTTCTTAGGCGGGGGCGGGGGAGTAAATCGACGCCATAGTAACCATTCAGGCACGCAAATCCCGATATCTCTTTAGTACCAGTAAAGAACTCGCAAATAAATATACCACATTCACTATTAAATTCATTGGAATGGCCATTTGTATCCACTGAAAGGCAAAACGCACACGTGGCTTGAGGACCACTATCAACTTTGGTGGCATGAATGATGATATAAGTATGGAGTCCTGCCTAGAGCAGGGTGTTGTGCTGCCATGGACGGCTGTGACTTACCACTAACGCTTCTGCTTAACGATGACAAAGATTGCTGTTTAAAATTGGTTGTTGCACAGGGATCTGGTTAAGAGCTGGAACTCATGAATTCTGCTTATTTTGAGATCCGTTTCGCGGCGCTGTAGATAAGATGTTAAAACACCAACCAGTTAGGTGAGCCTAGGAGTCATCTGGTAGATTCCAGATTGATTACTTAGGAAATCCCATAGTCAGTGAGCTAACTCTTGAAATGTCAGCCGAAGTTCCGAAATGCATTTTCGTTTTGAAAAGATTAATTAGGTAGGGTTGCAATTCCAATTCCAATTTCTAATTCCGAATAATTTTGAACCCGTTCTACCGTTACACTTGGATTGTGGGTTTTCAAACAACAAGCCGTGTATTTTTTGCGTACGGAAAACCATAAATTTCTCTACGGTACTAAAGGGGATCCATGTAGGTTTCATTAAATTCAGCAGTGGATTTGATCCATATTGTTAACTTTACAAGCCACCTTGGTAAATGAAGAGACTCGACGATTTAGGAACGCCCATTTCACGGTTTTTAAAAGTCGTACAATAAGAAACTTTCTTAATACCGAATTATGCCCCTTTTTGAGTAAAAAATGACAAGACGTAATTATCTACTGAATGAGCAAAAGAATGAATATTTTTATGCATGCTTTCAATGACATATAATTGGGCGTTTAGGGGCATCGAATATCAATGAGAAGATTCATGCTACTGAAGTTCTCATTTTTTACAGAGTGCAGTTTTTGCATGCAGCCAAAAGGAAGTTCATTCGAAATCCGGCATCCTGAGGTAACTGAAATATTATAGAATTCTGTAGCCAGCTGACTTGTTTTACAACCTTACTTAATAAATCCTTTCGAAACAAAAACGCATTTCGGAATTTCGGTTGACATTTCACGAGTTAGCTCACCTACTGTAATTATTCAGTCAACTACCTGTATCAGATTTGGTAGATTCCTGATGCTTTACAGTAGGTTCAGCGGGTAGCTTCATCCAGATACAATTAAACTCATGACTCTTGCTATGTCCGCGTAGCTCAGGTGGCTAGAGCGTTGGCTGTATGTAAGCCCTTCCTAGGCTGCTGTAAATACGAATCCTACTGAGGTGGACGGGGTTTTCCACATTTTGGTCAAAATGTTGCATCGAGAAGTATTAGTCACAGAAACAAGGAGGACTGGGATGGCGAATCAGTGCTAATTTGTAGTGGTGGGGGTCATAATAGTATTTTTGATCAGTTTGTCGGCATCTCTCTAGGCTTGTGTATTCTGCGGCCGCTTGCTTTGGCACTCTCATTTTCGAAGTTTCTCCCTACCATTTAGCATCTGCGGAGAGTTTTTATTGTTAACAGCCTCATGACACCCCTGAGGGTCTCAAATGGGTATGCGATTAGAAAAAGTACCGCTTAAGGTCTTTGTAGAACTGTCTGTGTTTGGTGACTGCGGGTTAGACGTTTTTTTAAAAGAATTTCTGCAAATGCAATTATTTCTTTGGTTCTTTTTGTTTGATTTTGTTGCATACTTGTAGACCTATCAAGTCTGCCACTTCTCGATGACCAACGTACAAATGCTCGGTTGGGTCACCTTAGCTTGCGTCCGCGTAAAAAGCAATTTGTTATCCTTACTTTCGTCCAGATTTTGACAGAGAACTCATCGCGCCATCAGTCTGCTTCTTCAGCAAAGCGACCTTCTGCATCCGGTTCACTGCCATGTGAGCGGCCATGCAGTTGAGGGTTATTTTTGCAGCAATATCTAGGTGTAGTCTGCTGTGGATTTAAGGGCAGATTATTAGCGTCATAGAAGGGTATACAAATACTGTAATCAAGTTCGCTGGACAGTCGTCTTCTGCCTTTGTCTGTTTTTGCATACTTCGGCCGCACTCGCAAGCGAAAACGTCCATCACTGTCCCACGAAAGGGACCCAGCGGCGTTGACTTGCACGGCCTCCGTCTCACCCCATTCAACGTCTCCCTCATTGTCCCGATGGCAAGTCGGCGTCAAGTCGATCTGAGGTGTATGGCCTGCGGTTAGCGCCTTCATATGGTCTGGCGCCTGTGCCTACATTTATTAATTGAACTTTTTTTCTTCTTGACTTTTGAATGCACCATGCAGACCATTTTAAGTTCATGGGAATGTCCTTCCCTCACTGACACTCGCAGTATGCAGGCCAATCTGAAATAAGGGTCCTATAGCATTGTCACACTCAGATTTCATAAAGGATATAATTACTACCGTTTACATTTTTATTCTTTCACAGGTATGCATAAATGTACATGTGCGACTTGCGGCGAAACGTTGACGCGCACTGCCTACGTAATGAAGCACGTAAACGTTAAACCCAAAAGTGCGCCTTCATTTGCTTGTCGATTTAATGTTTTGTCCTTCGGTTACTCGCTTTTACTTCACCATAGTGTCTTACTGAAGAATGTCTCGCCAAGAAAGTCTTGTCAGTCAACTTATGCCCGCTTGAGGTTTTGCCCACAAAGGGTGAATTCAGCAGAAAGATAAATATGCTTGAAAGGCACCATTTGCTCTATCGGTCCAAGTTGTTCTTTGCTTTATGTTTTTCCAGATCAGCGAGTGTATGCATGCGGGTTTTACAACAAGGTCTCCCGGACGGAAGGAAAATCTGAGGGCGCATAGAGACGGCGTCCACGCAGGTTTGTCTTTTCCATTTTGCTGATATACCGCTCTCGCTCTCCCTCAGAACTGGTTCATTTTTTGTTGAAAATCTCTGTGACACTCTTTATACACATTGCTTGTTTTTCGTTGAATGTTTTGCACAGCCCATTGTTACGATTTTATCCAAAGCCTTTTTCGTTAATTCGGTGAGAAAACATTAAGTAGCCTTTATACACAAATCCATTTATGGGATTTATCCGATTCGAATTTGCCCGACATAAATGTGAAAACCTCTGCGGCGTCGGTGGGATTCGAATCCACGCGACAAAAGTCAGGCTACCAATGAAGCCAACGCTTTGCCCCTCCGAGCCATGAGACCGCAACGAAAGCAAAAACCAGATTACATTTGGGTCAACTTACCGGCTAACCCACTGCAGTTTACTTACGCATCAGAATTGGTGGATTCCATGCACTGCAGTAGGCCAGAGGGGTAACTCACGCCTCCCAGTGGGATTCCGTTCATCCCACTGCGGCTGCAGAGTATATTTCAGTCGGTCTGAAGGAATTGTTCGCATCTGCTGGACACTCAAATGTGTCAGTTAATTAAAAGCGAATGAAACTACAAATAATTTTGCATAATATTTATCTAAACATGTGTTTCCTGTGCCTTATCAAGGACAAATGATCTGCTTTGAATCTCACTTTCATTCCTTGCTTACATAGAGGATTTTTTCCACGTTTAACACCGTTCTTGATAGTGTGTAGTCGAAAAGTGCTATTGTTCTAGACGGAAGACTGTCCATCAGTCATCTACATCCCCACTGGCCAGACACGCGATCGGAGTCCTATTAATCTGTATCAGCCTTTTTATAATTTATAAATTTAACGATGGGATCCATAGCAACACCGCTCAGATTATTTGATTAACTATAAACTCTCTTCAGCCGGAACAGAATTGGTCGACAAACCTCGAGCTAGGAATTTATTCAGTCGAGCATCCTCAATCACAGGTGTGGGCGACACGGTTGTCGGAGCAAGAGCTTTATTCGCCTGATTTTTCAGGTTCACACTCGACTTCATCCTCAGAGACGGAATCTGAGACGGGTTTTATGTGGAGATGAGAACGCGGTCTGAAGACCAACTTCGTCTTCACAGCACGCTTCGAGCTAAGCCGAGCAGTGGGGAAAGGAGGTAAGACCAAGCTACTTGTAGACGGTTAATACTCAGGGTTCCGCCGTGAGTGTCGACAGACCGCATGAGGTCGGGATGCGGGAGATGACATCAAAAACCGCGAAAATTGTCGCTACGGGGGAGGAGTAATAGCAGTGGATTTAGAAACCAATTCAAAACAGGGGTTTCTAGTGATATAATTAAGAGTTACCACTTAATCTACCACTAAATCCCAGGAGAACCCTTCTCGAAGTCAAGAAGCTGAGTGTTCGGGAATGAGACCGCTAACAGTGTCTTTATGACTTCCGATGTAAGGTGTTTACGTAATTTGGACCTGAATACCAGTAACTTAGGCGATGACCTAATTTCTGCCGGAAGACTATTCCAAAGGAAGGCATATTTGGAAGCAAAGAAGAGAGAGCGCTTAGATGTCGTACAAAGAGGGGGTCTAATCCCCATGCAGGAGTTGCGCGTGGCATAAGACCGATCTCTCGGAGTGAGAGTGTCAATGAGCGGAAGACTGGAGCTAGAGTTGATGCGAAAAAGGAAGCAAAGGCCAGCTTCGAGTCTTCTTACCCACAAAAACTTAATGTTCGCCAGCTGACATCTCTGAGTATAAGAAATATTGGACGAAGCTTGCGAGAAGAGTTTCCGGGTGAAAACCCTCTGAACATTTTCGATTTTATTACGATCGCAGGCGTTCATTAAACCGAAGAAAGGACAGCAGTATTCGAGGACTGGAAGAACAAACATCTGATAAAGTCTTAGCTTCATTTCCGGAAGGAAAAAATTATGCGATATGAATCTACATATCTGCGCGGCTTGGGAAGAGATTCTATCTGCAAGCTTATTTGTATAACTTAGACCTAGGTCCTTTATGGTGAGGCATTCTGAGAGTGCGTTATTCTGAAAAATTATGGGACCGGGAAGTTTGGTAGGACCAAAAGACATGAAACTACACTTGGATGATAAAACCTCCATCTGCCATGTCGGACCCCATCTGCTTGAGCGTAGTAAATCGACATTACTTTTTTCAACACAAACATTTGCGGTGTCCTTAGAGTATGAGTAAACACACTTGAGGTCATCGGCATAGGTAAAAGTTTGCGAATTTCCAAGTTCAGTCGAAATATCACGGATGTAAAGAAGGATGTGTAGCGGACCCTGGACAGTACCTTGAAGTACACCACTCGTGATCGAGTGAGGTTTTGAGAAGCTATTACCGACATTGACTTTCTGATATCGGTTGGATAGATAGGACCTGATGAAGTCGAGTAGAGACGGCCGGATGCCGAGAGCTTCTAATTTTACTAAAAGGCGTCTATAGGGCACCTTGTCAAAGGCTTTGCTAAGATCAAAGTAAATAACCACTACTGACTGCTGTTGATTACGAAGAGAAGTGATTAGATTAATGAAAGCCAAGTGGCATGTTTCGCAGGATCGTTCAGATAAAACTCCATGCTGACTAGAGCTCAGAAGCCGATTAGCTAGACAGAAGTCAAGAATTTCATTGAAAATAATTCTTTCAAGAAGGTTTGCTAGAGACGGCGTTTTGTCCACGCCCCGATAGTTATTAACATCGTATCGAGATCCTGACTTGAAGACGGGAATGATAATTGACGTTTTCCATGTTTCAGGAAAGAATCCTTTTGAAATATAAACCGAGAATAAATGACTAAGCAATATGGGAAGGTCGGATGCTTGTTTAATAATCCAATTCGGAATCCCGTCCGTTCCTGTGCAGTGTGAGTATTTCCAACGACTTATGTTTTTCCTAATGAGATCTGAGGAGACATCGATTGAACTCAGTGTCCTATCTGAAAGCAAATGGAAGAAAGGGACCGGATCGGACTCGGTAGCAAGGTGTTTTGCAAAGAAAGCACTAAACAACTCCGCCTTGTCAGTGTCATCGTTGAGGAAGACTTTGCTATCATTAAGCAGGTGTGGAAGTTCGTGACCACGCTTAGAGGAGGACCGATGACGGAAGATGTTAGCGACGGATTTGCCAGGGTTCGAACCACTGAGCGCAACTGATTCTCTTTGCCTGTCGCACATTTGACGCATCCTTGAGGCCATCTCATAAAGATGAACTGATAAGGAACTAGCGGATGGGTCAGGCAGCTGTCGCCTCAACGTTTTTAGTATGTTGTGAAGAAAATGAGGAACAAGGGAATCTGGAGAATAAGCCTTGAGATATTTACGCGGAACGAACTCTAGAATGTCCTTAGGAAACATAAGACATGACATCACGAAGAATGGTTGCATCGCTACAAGTGAGGAAGCCACACCAATCCAAAGATCTAATATAGTTATTTATTTAGTCGCTATCTACGCACTCGTAGTACATGTAAGTCCGAAGGACGCTAGTCTTTTTTGAAAAGGCAAGCTCTAAGCAACAATGAATTCCGTTATATACCGCCACCTACAGGCCAGTCCTGCTCACTTTTTTCTGTCATTATTTTTATTGAGGGGTTTTTTCTCCTGTAAAATTAATTCAATCATTTTTAACTTTTTGTAAGGAGTTTTTTTTCACCCCTCAGTCATCATATTTCTCAATGGACTACTAATTCAGAAACTATGAATTGCATTTTGTAAAGATTCGGCCTACCTCGTCTCAAACTCACATGCAAATTTATTTTAACTAGCTTTGATGGGATCCCGACGGGTCTTCAATAAAAAATTATTTATTTATTCAATACGTGGTCACTGTCAAACAGGTCCTTTTTTTATAGCAACAAAAAAGGAGCAATGTCATTGGTAAAGATTAGATGTAAAATGTGATTATCTCTTGTTGGAGAACGCACCAGTTCAGTTCAGTTCAGTTTATTGAGGGAAAGAGGCGTAAGCCTTTGAGTACCCTATTTGCAACGTTAAAAATTTGTGGTGTACAGATAGATGTTCTGGGCTGAAATAGTTCGAACACGTCCATAATGTTGGGACAAAATGAGAAGAAGTTACAGGGGGTGAGCTCGACTTCTCATCGCTCTTGGTCATTTCGGAACATAAATATGTCCAGATTCTTCTTAAAACTTTGTATAGATGGTGACATCACAACATCTGCGGGAAGCTCATTCCATGGTTTGACCACCCGAACCGAGAAGGAGAACTTCCGCACATCCAGCCGTGCCTGCTGAGTGCGCAGTTTTAACGGGTGACCTCGGAGGTTGGTCGTGGTAGCAAATTCAAAAAAGTCCTCGAAGGCCAGACTGCAATCCAACCCCTTTACAATGCGGAAGGCTTGCAAGAGATCTCCGCGAAGTTGCCTGTAACTCAAAGGAAAGTGGTTCAGATTTACTAGGCGGGTTGCATAAGGAAAGGAGCTTTGACCCCTAACCATCTTCGTGGCTCTCCTCTGGACTCTTTCGAGGCAGTTTTGATCCACAACAGCCCACGGCCTCCAAGCTTGTATGCCGTACTCTAAATGCGGCCGGACGAATGTTCCGAATGTCTTAGAGAAAGCTTCTTCCTAAAAGTCCATAAACGCACGCTTGATGGCGTACAGTACGGACATTGCGCTTTTTGCCACCCTCGAACAGTGGGTAGATGGCTTTAGGGAACTCGTCGTAAGCACACCGAGGCTCTTTTGGGTTTCGACCTCTTGTAGGGCTGCACCGCCCAGAAAGTAGCCTCTTGTGCTGGCGGATCTGGCTGTGTTGCCTAAGCGAAGTATGCTACATTTGGCAACGTTGAACCGCAGGAGCCAACGGTTTGACCACTACTCTAAACGATTCAGGTTCATCTGCAGTCTGTCTTCGTCGGCAGGACTCGGAATTACACTCCATATCTTCATGTCATCCGCAAACATTGCTACTTCACAGTCTAAATCTCTTGCGGCATCGTCCACGTAGATA